ATGATTTTCAAGTTTATGTTAAACTTGATTCATAAAAAAATTAGTTCACTCATATTATATCGAATCACGTGATTTGACTCCGCTTTAGACGACCCCCATAAAAAGTATATTGTGACACCTGATTGCAGGACCTGACCCCACCCACCCACTAAATCACATAATTTCTGGCACGCCCCTTACAAAAAATTATAAACTGTATATAATAAAAAAGTATTTTATTAAATAAATATGACTTATATTGCATAAATAGAATCATAATTTAATAGTTTTATATTAATATAGAATAGACTAATATTCCATATATGTAATATATTTTCTGTAACATTTAATAGATTTAAATATTTTTTAATACTTTTTTTTTTTATTTATAGCAAATGTTTCCAATAAATTATAAGCTATATACAATATAATCATAAAATAAAATCAATAAAATTAAATAATTTAAAATAATAATAATAATAAAAGTAAACCTACCAAAAATTCTAACATAAAATAAATAATCATATAAATATTATATTAAATCAATTAATCATTACCCAAATCAAATTCCTATATTAAAATAATAAAGTGATGATAAAGGTTTATAAATAAAATGTACTTTTTGATATACAATTAAAGATGAGGACTAAAGAGTCTTGAAAATATTATTAAGGAGAAATGTAAATGGGAGTATATATCATTTGTGTAGTAGGATTAAGGCCATCTAAAACAATAATTTCATCCTCTGTGATTACAGATCTATTAGTATAGCAGGTTTTAAAGTTTCAATTATGATTAAGAGAATGTTTGTCTTGAACTGTAATATTACACACTTATTTCCATTTGATAATACATTTACATCTGTCTTTTCATAAATAGTTTTTGAAAAAAATAATGGTTTGCATTAGAATTTTAAATTCTAATAATTTACACTATCAGCTCGTGATAGTTTAAGATTTATCTTCAAGTGGGAGATTGCTGCTATATTGATCTTTGCCTGTATGACGTTAAAAAGTAAGCTAGTATATTCAAATAAGTCCAGTGAAATACCAAGAAGTAAGTATATAATGCGTGATCTAATATAAGGAGATAGTTTTTGAAATTCATTAGTATTATTAAGGAAATGAATAAGTTCAGATCTAAAATAAGTTCTAAAATCCACTATCTGTGTACAAGTTGATAAATGATGTGTGGTTTCCTCATATATAAAATAAAATTGGCATTTAAGGTTGATACAGTGCGGTACCTCTATAATAGGTACCTCTTATATCTTGTGATCTAATGGTCAGAATTTTATAAAATTTTAAAAATTTTCTCAATTTTTTTTGCTGATATAATACAAAATCACATGACTTAAAATAAATTTGATTGGCTGATGCAATACCTAATGTTAATTAGAATTATGCATAATTTTTTATATATAATTTATTATTCATTATAATTATTTAAAGTAATTTGATTAAGTATATTATCAGGAACTTTTCTATGGGATTTATATTTTTTTTAGCAAGTTTTCCCATGATTCCTTTTTGAGAAATAGATATAATATAATTTGTAATAAATAAAAACTACCAAAATTTTTTTTGAATTTTTTTTCAAAATTTTTTTAACAAAG